CAGGTTGGGAGTGTCTCCTCTGCCTAACTGACATGGGGAAAGGGCTCTAAGGGGGCTGAGGTCATTCGTGGCAGGGATCTGTCCCCTCCCAGAGGCGCTGCTGGGAGTGGGTCTGCAGCAGAGCACCTGGGCTGCTGGGTGGACATAGGCGGGTGGGTGGGTGCCTCCCTTTCCAGGGATACAGGAACCCCGGGTAGGAGTAGGAAGAGGGGAGCCTGGCGGGGCTGGTAGGCCTGAGCTGCTCTTGACTTCCTGGCTTCTGGGGCGGCAGCCAAGCCAGTGCGGTTGTTCTGAGGGGCTGGGAGGCTACAGGACAGTGCCCTGTGCATGGGGAGGTCTCAGCCAGCACTGGACAGAGCCCTGGCAGAGCCCAGCAGGAGAGAGCCCGCCAAGCCTCCCAGAGGCGGTGGCTGTGAGAGAACTGGGGCTTCGCTGTGTCTGTCGCAAGCCCTTGCCTGGTGGAAAGCCCAAACATCAAAGTGTAGTGAGAATCACGCCCAAAATGCAACTCTGTTTCCTCGAGCTCCTGTGTCGGTGTTAACTGTCCGTGGAAAAGGTCTCACCTCCAAGAGGCATGAATTCCAACAGGACTGAAGATTCCTTCAATGTCCTAATAAATTCATCCCATCCTAAGGACAGAGCTCTGGGACCCGGGTGTCCCACTCAAGCTCCCCAGTCCCTGGCCGGGGACCTCAGGTCACATCCCAGCTGAGTCCAGCTTCTGAGAGGGGAGCAACAGCCCCTGCCTATCCCTGGCCACACTGCCTCGAGCACCAAAGGAGAGGACGGCGGAAGCAACCTCACTTTGCAAATGTCGTGAGGCCGTCCTAGTCCACGTCCTGTTACTGAGGAGCAAGCAGGCAGCTCCGTCTCCTAAATACAGAGGAGCACCTTTCTGGGCCATCAGGAGCTTATTTTTAAGGGCCGTTCACTAGGGGGACCAGTGTGACCGTGGGCTTGGGGTGAGAGAGGCAGAAGCAGCTTGCAATGACTCGCACGAGGCCGCCACACCTCGTCCACGTCTGGAAGGGATGCCTTCGGCTAAGTTGGCGTGGAATCCTTCACTCCACTGCACAGGTCACTGGGGGCCGCAGTGCCTGCAGCCTGTGATAAGTACCTCTGTAAGTCGGACCGTGGCCGCAGAGCCCGTGTGGTCAGCGTGAGCTTTCACATCCAGCACCCTCATATGTACAGCTGTGCCAGGGAATCCATTTCCTGGGGCTGCTGTCACAGCGTCCCGCACACCCTGTGGCTAGAACAACAGAAGCATGGTCCCTGACAGTTTGGGGGCCAGCAGTCTGAAGTCGGGGTGTCAGCAGGGCCATGCTCTCCCGGAAGGTCCTGGGGGAGGAGCCTTGCCTACCCCTCCAGCTTCTTCCTGCTCCCGGTGGCTGCTGGCAACCCCTAGCGCCTCTTGGCTCACAGCAGCAGCCCCCATTCTCTGCATCTGTGTTCACCCGGCCTCCTTCCCACCATGCGTGTCCACATTTTCCTCTTGTTTGAGAACACCAGTGACTGGATTAGGATCTACCCCAGTGACCTCATCTTAACTTGATTACATCTACAAAGACCCTGTTTCCAAATAAGTTCTCGCTCGCAGGCTCCGGGGGTTAGGACATGGGCATAGCTTTGGGGGTAACACTTCCCAACCCACAATAACCTGTGATCCCAACAGCCAGGGTTCAGCACTCTCACGGGGCAGCCTCTCCTATAGACCACACCCGCATCCTAGGGGAGAAAGTAACAGCCTCCATTCTCATCTGCGGGGACTCTGGAAGGGGAAGGACAGAGAATGGGCTCCGTGTCCGGGCACAGGCGCCGGCCAGCCTCCCACCAAACTCTAGGAGCTGCCCTGAGAACGGAGCCCAGCGGGAGGCTGGCCAAAGTCAAGAGCAGGGAAGTGGTGGGTGGATGGGACGGGACTTGGGCTAGGTGGTCGTAGAAGCAGAGTCTCCCCACCTGGGATCAGGGCGGTCCCAGGAGGAAGGGAAATCCAGCCATCGGTCGATTGCTAGAGATGGCTGTGTGTGCACGTCTAGCCGAGGCTCTTTTCAGAAAGATCTAAGTCACAGGAGAAAACTGGAAGCATCTATTTCAGGCAGGAAGCCGCTGAGTGGGGAGAGCGGGCGGCCAGTGTCTGCACACAGCCAGCCCGGATGCTGGTAACTCCTGCCGGCCATCATCGGGAAGGAGGGCGGAGTGAGAGGGCGGTCGCTCCTACATCTGTCCAGTACAGGCCACGTACATCAACGCCTCCTTTGCCCAGAAGGCTGTACCAGGCCAGGCCAGCATGCTTATGCCAGCCACACCCACAGCCTTCTAGGGCATTCTGTGTGGCTGGCAGGGAGAAAGGATGTTTCCGGTTCTAGTTCAAACTCAGTGAGCTGATAACAAGCTTATCTTCACACTGCTGCCATGAAGCTCAGCCTCGGGCTTGCAGGGGCTTGCCAAGAACGTTGAAATTCTCTGTCTCGATTGTGTCTAAATGGTTATGGGGACCACGGATTCCTTTAGCAGAGTTAATTTGCACTTGGAAGACAGTTACATAGAGTAAGAGCTCAGCCTTTCACGTCAGCTATTCAAGCGGGGGTCCCAGAGAAGTAGTTTTTATTTTCAAATCGCGTCTGTACCTTCCTCAAGACAGAGGAATAGCTGTTGGATACTCAGACACACTCTCCAGCTGGGATTACAGGCACCTGCTCTGTGCTGAGCTGTGTAGTGACCAGAGCTGAACAGAAGTTAAAGCCATAGGCCAGGTGCAGTGGCTCACGCCTGTAATCCCTGCATTTTGGGAGGATGAGGCCAGCGGATCACCCGAGGTCAGGAGTTCGAGACCAGCCTGGCCAACTCGGCAAAACCGCGTCTCTACTAAAAACACAAAAATTAGCCAGGCATGCTGGCAAGCGCCTGTAATCCCAGCTACTTGGAAGGCAGAGGAGGGAGAATCGCTTGAACCCAGGAGGTGGAGGTTGCAGTGAGCCAAGATTGCGCCACTGTACTCCAGCCTGGGCGACAGAGCAAGACCCTGTCTCAAAAAATAATAATAATAATAATAATAAATACGGTTTTCATCCAGGACTATTGCAGTAGGGGAGTAGCAGGATATTGAATAGGGAGGAGACTCAGTGCAGGACACGACTCAGTTCCTAATACTGCATGGGCCAGTGGGGATTTAGGGCCCAGGAGCAGGGTGGGAGTGAGAGGGTGGAAAATACCTGAGTGGAAGCATCAAGGGTGAGGGAGATTCTGGCTGAACTGACCTAATGGGATTCTCGCTGCAGGCAGGCTGGGGTGAGCAGACATCCCAGGTGGGGGTGGGGGGTGAGCGGCCTGATCAGATATCCAGGGTTGGGGGTTCTTGCTGAAGTTGGATTTGATATGGAAGAGCAGGGGTGGACTCAGGAGAAGTCTAAGGAACCTGGTGAAGCAAAGAATCTTTTTTATTTTTTAATTTTATTTATTTATTTTTTTGAGACGGAGTCTCGCTCTGTCGCCCGGGCTGGAGCGCAGTGGCCGGATCTCAGCTCACTGCAAGCTCCGCCTCCCAGGTTCATGCCATTCTCCTGCCTCAGCCTCCCGAGTAGCTGGAACTACAGGTGCCCGCCACCTCACCCAGCTAGTTTTTTGTATTTTTTTTTTTTTTTTAGTAGAGACAGGGTTTCACCATGTTAGCCAGGATGGTCTCGATCTCCTGACCTCGTGATCCGCCCGTCTCAGCCTCCCAAAGTGCTGGGATTACAGGCTTGAGCCACCGCGCCGGGTCAAAGCAAAGAATCTTAATCATCGCTTGGCAAGCACAGAGCTGGCCAAGGCAGGATGCCCCCCAGAAGGTCCTGCAGCTGGAGGGACCTCGAGGGCCTGACACACTGGAGACACCCAGAGCCAGCAGGGAGGTGTACGCTCTGTTCCCCCTTGACCGTTCCCAGGGAGGGGACTGGGGCAGCCCAGCCTCTCCCAAGGCCAGCAAGACAGTGGACACCCTCCCAGCAAGTCCCACCAGGGGTCTGCACCAGCCCAGTCAGCCAGGAGAGGCTCCAACGGGACTGGACCGTAGCAGGAGGGTCAGGGAAGCTGGGAGGGTCTCGATCTTGAAGAAAGACTGCCCCGTGAGGCAAGGCATCTGGGCTCACGACAACTTGGAATAATAAAAAAGCGTACATTGGGTCTCTGTCCCTAGTTCCTGGCACAGAACTCTTAAAACCCCTTGAATTTCCTGTCTTTTGTATGTTAATGAGATGACCCTTAGGGGAGTCTGAGGCTAGATAGCTTCAGGATGGCAGGGGCTGGTCACCAGGAAAACCAGCCACGTGATTCTAGAGGAACAGAAGGCTCAGGAAGAGGGGCTGGAGGTTGAGCTCAGTTGCCATTGGCCAGTGATTAATCTGCTGTGCCTACGTGTTGAAACCTCCATTAAAACTCTGGGCGCAGTGGCTCACACTTGTGATCCCAGCACTTTGGGAGGCCGAGGCGGGTGGATTGCTTGAGATCAGGAGTTCAACACCAGCCTGGGCAGCAGAGTGTGACCTCATCTCTACCCCCCCAAAAAAAAAAATTAAATAAATAAATTTTTGAAAAACAACCAGGCTGGGGAGGTTCCAAGCTGGTGGTACCCAAGGGGGTGTGGAAGCTCTGCACGCCTCCCCCCTTCCCGTTGGCCCTGAGCTTCTCTTCCCTGTTCAGAGGTGCAGCCTCCAGAGCAAACCGGTTGCCGTAAGTGTTGCATGTTCCTGAGTATTGTGAATGGTTCTAGCAGATATCAGACCTAAGCAAGGGTTGTGGGAGCTCTGACTCATAGTCAGCCAGGCAGAAGTGTGGGTCATCCGGGGGCCACTTCTTGGCGACTGGCCTTTGAGGCCGGGGCAGTCTTGTGGGACTGGGCCCTTACCCTGAGGTGACTCTAGGAGGTACTGTCAGAATTGAACTGAGCAGTAGGACACCCAGCTGGCGGGGATTAGAGAATTGGTTGATGTTGGAATGATGTATTTGGTGTCAGAAAAAAATACAACACCAGCTGTTTAATGAGCACTTACTGTCAGGCGCCGTACTGAGGGCGTGCATGAATTCTCCCATCCTGTCCCAGTGGCCTTAGGGAGACGGTGCTGTCACTGAGCTGCTCTCAGGGGAGGAAACCAAGGCTCCAAGGTGAGGACCATCAACTCTGCAGCAGGCGCTGAGTTGAGCACCATCCAGGAGAGAGCGTGCGGTGGCTCGGGGCCTCCCAGAGCTGCCCCGACTCCTCTGCTTGGCCAGCCTCTCCCCTGGAGCCCAACCCCAGGGCCAGCGAAGGCTGCAGTGAGTTGGGGCCGTGAATGCCTCTGGAGCAGGAGCTGCAGACAGGAGGAAGCTGGGTCAGGAGGACGAGACTGGCACACAAAGGAGCTGATTAGCAACGAGAGGCTGCCTCCAGCCAGCCGGATTAGGAGCCCAGACAGCACGAGCCCAGGGACTGCAGGAGCCACTTCTATCCATTCTCAGGCAAAAAGAGATGCCCACGGCAGGGCCGAGGTGGTGATCAGGGGATCAGAGTGCCACCCCTCCCAGGCCCCAATGGCCCTTGCCTGCCCCGGCCTGGGCTCTTGCCACTGGCCCGTCCTCCTCGAAGGGGCCGTCCTGTGCCCGCACTAGGCGTGTGGGAGAAGCTCCCCAGGTCCACCATGACCCCGGCAGGAGACACAGCAGCCGGCCCAGCCCCAGAGGCCGCAGCCCCACATGGTCGCACGACGGTGTCCTTGGTGCTCATGTGGGCTCAGAGGATGCAATCCCTGAAGGGCCCCTGGGTGGGGACACCAGTGTCTTGCCCAGGACAGCGCCGGTGACATTTGCTCCTTTGTGGCCTGAGAAGCCTGAGGGTGGGGAGAAGCCTGAGGGTGGCTGAGGTCTGGCCTCTGTGAGACTGTGGTTTCAGGGTTTCAGGTTACGGCAGCAGCAGGGGCCACCCCGTTTGTCTCCTACCGAATGGAAGACCCGTGTCTGTGCAGTGGTGGCCACCCCGCTCCTGGTCCCAAGTCCATCTGCTGGTCCAGCCCCGAGAGGGGGCGTCAGGACAGAATGGTGTCTACTGTGACCTGAGGGCGGCGTGGCCCCTCCTGACGCTGCTGAGTGCCTCTCCTCGGGCAGGGATTTGGGCCCTGGTGAACCACACACACTGGGCAGCCCACAGTGAGATCCGTTGGTCACTCTCCCACAGGCAGCTGCTCTGGGATTCACAGGGACGGACAGGGGCAGTAGCCTTGCCCCCTCCATACCCCCGGCTGAACAATGACAGTTGCTACCAGCTGGTCTTGAAGGTCCCACGTGGGGCTCCACCTTTGGGGGCTCATTTTAACTTGACAGCAGCTATGGGGAAGGAGCTGGGACTGGCCCATTTTCCAGATGAGGACACTGAGCCCCAGAGTGGGCAGGCTGGGGGCTGGAGAGGTTCTGCAGCCCCAGGATTCTCTCCTGCATGTGGAGAGTGGAGATTTGAACTGGGGCTGTCATCCCCAGGGAGAGGCACAGGGTGAGAGGTCAAGGTTGGATTTTCCAAATAGGCTGTTTCCTGACTTCTAGAAAGTTGTCTTAAGAAATGGGGACGTGTCTGCTAACGGCCTCTCGTTGAGGCCACATTTGGGGGGACTGTGAGGCTACAGGAAAAAGCAAACTCAGTTCCTTCCCACTATACTCTCTCAACGCAATCCACAGAGAGACTCAGAGGCCAGGTGAGCGGGGTTCCCACACACAGCAAGCAAGCAGTCAGTTCCCTCAGACACCAGCGGGTGCTCCTAATTCAGTTCAGTTCTGCACTGTCCACCTGGAGGGCATGTTGATCCCACAGGGTGAGGCTCAGTCCCACAAGATGGGCCCCGTGTCCTTTGCAGGTGCCGAGCACAAGCCCCAGGTTGTGACCTGTGCCTCTGACCAACCAGCAATGAATCAGGGTTCCCGTGATGCCCTTCTCGGGTTCGATTAATTTGCTAGAGCAGCTCACAGAATGGAGGGAAATACGTTTGCTGGTTTGTTACAAATGGAGCGATGTGTGGGGTGAGGTGCGGGGGAGGGTGTGCAGCTTTCATGCCCTGCCCAGGCACGCCACCTCCCAGGAACCTCCACATGTTCATCTATTCAGAAACTCCTCCAAACCTGGTCCTTTTGGGGTTTTTATGGAAGTTTCATTCCATAGATGTGATTGATTAAATCATTGGCCATTGGTGATCGACCCAACCTTCAGCCCCTCTCTCTCTTCCCTGGAGGCGGGGCAGCAGGGCTGAAATTTTCAACTCTCTCATCTTGGGATTGGTTCTCCTGATAACCAGCCCCCATTCTGAAGCCATCTAGGGTCCCCCAGCCGTCAGTCATCTCATTAGCATCCAAAGACACTCAGCACTCTGCAGAGTCCCAAGATTTTAGGGGCCACATGTCAGTAAAGGAGAGGAAAACCAAATACCCATTTCACAACGCAGGCTGCGTGTGGTTCCTCCATGCCTTTCTCTAATAGAGCATCCTCTGATCTAAAAGGTGCCTGTCCCTCAAACTGCAGTTCCTGTTTCATCAAAAGCACATGCAGTTGCCCTGGGGAGCTCAGCCTTCACCCCGTGCCAGGCTGGTCCAGGGCTCTGCCTCCTCACCCAGCACACACCGCCCCTGCCCTTCCACCCACCTGCTCGCTCTGTTCAAGTTCTCATTTGTGGGATTGGTCAGACGTCCTGGGGGAGCCCCCTTCCTGCTGAGATCTCCAGATGGGGGACAGTCAGCCCTTGAGATGCTGGAGAAGTCCCCTGGGAACGTTTCCTGCCTCTCCTCATGGCAGTGGGGAAACTGAGGCTCTGGTGCCCAGGAGTGAGGAGGCTCGTTGGAAACCCTGCTGGGGTGCAGGCAGGAAGCTGCGTGATCGGGTCATCTTGTGAAACTGCTGCTTTGGGAGCCAGCTTCCAGGAGTAGTCACTCAGGCCCACATGACTTCTGAGTCATTCGCAGACCTTACTGGGCTGTTGGGTTTGTGCTCCAGGAAGGGCCTGCTGGTTAGAGTGGAGGTGTTGGACAGAGTCCAGAGCCCTGCCCAGTGAGAGTCAGGAGCCTGTGGCCATGTCCCCTGAGCAGGGCTGAGCACAGCCCACATGCATTTCCAGGGGCTGGGCTGTAAACGACACACATGGATTTTCTCACAGTTTGGAGGCCGGAATTCCAAAATCAAAGTGTGGGCAAAGCCATGAGCCCCTCTAGCTCTAGGGGAGGGTCCTTCCTTGCCTCCTCCAGCTCTGGGGCTGCCGGTATTCCTTGGCTGGTGGCCACGTGGAGCCAATCTGTGTCTCTGTGGTCACACAGCCTCCTCCTCCTCTCTCCTCATCCCTCATAAGGGCTCCCATCACTGGATTCAGGGCCCGCTTCGGTAACCCAGGATGATCTCATCTCGAGATCCTTAACTTAATTATATCTACAAAGACCCTATGTCCAAATAAGGTCACATTGGCAGGTGCCAGGGGTTAAGGGCATGGACATACCTTTCGAGGGCCACCGTTCAGCTCACTGTGTAGTCTGTTTTTGTAACCTCCCTGCAGTAACTCAAGCAAAGCATGCAGCAGCCACTCAGCATTTGCCCGGTCACTATGGGGCACTCAGTGGCCTGTGCACAGAGGAGTAGCGTGGATCCTGGGCAGTAAACCCTCTCTAGCCACTGTCACGGGGTGTGCAGAAGCTTCTGAGTGAGGAGCTCCCTGACCTGCATGGGTCCCGCTCTATGCCAGCTGCCACGAGAACTGCAGGGTGCCTTCCAAGATGGCTGCCCTCAGCCTTAGGGCAGGGTCGGTCCCCACACTGGTGGCACCTGGGACTCAACAATTCTCTGTTGTGGGGGACTGTCCTGTGCTTTGTAGGATGCAGCTTCCTTTGTCTCCACCCAGAAGATGCCAGTAGCAATACCAGTTGTCACAACCAAAAATATCTCCCGACATGGCTGAATGTGCTTTGTGGGGGGCACTATTGCCCCCGCTTGAAAACCCCTGTCTTAAGCCATAAACCAGGTTCTCAGAGCCAATTTGAACACCAGGTTCCACGCCCCACATCTGTCAGTGCCTGCTGGCCTCACCCCTGCCTGCCCAGAGGTCTCTGGCGAGGCCCGCAGTCACCTACACATCTAGTCATCATTCACCCTGTCCTAGCTGGCTCATGCTCGCCAGCCCACCTGCTACATGCAGAGGTGACTGGCCAAGAGGGTACACCAGGGAGCTGCCCAGCCAGCACAGCCAGCTGTCCATTTTCTTGATGAAGCCAAGGATGGTTGGCGGGGGGCCAGTGGCTATTCCTACTGTTCCCGCCAGGCTGATGACTAGGGGAGGCTTAGAGGTGCAGCCTGGCTAACGGAAGGACAGGTGTTCTCAGGTGAAAGGGCCAGCTTAAGTGTCCGTCACGGGTGCAGGAGGAAGGCAAATGTGGTGTATCCAGAACAGGAGCATCGTTCCATCTTAAAGAAGGAAGGAAAACCGACACCGGCTACAAAGGCCTGGTACGGAGGAGATTTGAGGAGATTATGCCAAGTGAAATCAGCCAGTCACAGGAGACAAGCTCGGCAACTGTACCATCCACTCATATGAAGCTTCTAGAGTAGCCAAGTCCCTGGAGACAGAAAGTCGGAGGGTGAGTGCCAGGGGCTAGGGAAGGAGATGGGGAGTCTGTGGTTCACAGGGACAGGCTCCGTTTGGGAAGATGAGAATGTTCTGGACATTGTGTGTTCAGTGACACTGAATTGTGCACTAATGGGTTACCGTGCTAAGTTTTATGTTTTGCGGTTGTTGTGTTGTTGTTGTTTTTGTTTGTTTGTTTTGCATCTTACTCTTTTGCCCAGGCTGGAGTGCACTGCAACCTCCACCTCCCGGGTTCAAGCAATTCTCTGCCTCAGCCTCCCGAGCATCTGGGTATTACAGGCGCCCGCCACCACGCCCGGCTAATCTTTATATTTTTAGTAGAGATGGGGTCTCACCATGTTGGCCAGGCTGGAAGTTTTATGTTATACAGATTTTACCACAGTGCAGTTAAAAATTAAAACTATAAAGAGGCAGGCCTGGGTGGGGCTGATGGGACGTGTTTCAGGGCCTTCGTGGAGTCAGCTCACCCCCGTCGCTAATCGTGAAGCTGCAGCTGTGGGTATCGTGTATGTGTCAGGCTGGACATGAGACTCCCGGGCTCCCGCAGACAGGGAGGAGGTGGTAGGATGAGAAGGGTCCTCATCACCCTGACTCCACAAGATGGAGGGGGCCCCAGCCTGCCTGGTTTCTCAGACGCCGTCCCCTTGACCTGCCCGCTGGCACCCCACTTGCTGGTTCTGTTCTCCTTCTTGCAGAGATGGGCGAGCCCCAGCCCCACCCTTGGGGACACTGGCCTGGCGGAGGCGTGTGAGATGAGACAAGCATGCCCGTAACTCACGGCTGTGGAATGAATCATGTTCCCCCAGATTCTTACGTTGAAGCCCTAACCCCCGTTACCTCAGAGCGAGGCCTTGCTTGGAAATCGGGACATTGCGATATGATTGGTTAAGATGGGGTCACAGGGGTAGGGCAGCCCCTGATCTACCGGCCCATGTCGTTGTAAGAAGAGGGAGGTTTGGGCACAGACAGGCACGCAGCGGGAAGGCCGGGCAAAGATGAAGGCAGAGGGGGCGATGCTCCTCCAAGCCAGGGACACCAAGGCTTGCCAGCCACCACCAGGGGCACAGAAATGCCTGGAACAGAAGCGCCTCGAGGTCCCCAGAGGAACCCACCTGGCCCACACCTTGACCTCGGACTTTGCCTCCAGGACTGTAGGAACATGAAGGTCTGTAGTTAAAGCACCGAGGCCCTCTGCGACGGCCGCCCCGGGAGAGAAACGTGCTCCCTGGAAACCCCAGCCTGCTGGATCATGGCCCATCCCAGCTGAACGAGGAGAAGGTGGACATGGGTCAGCGCCCAGATTACATCCTGGTCCCCACAGCAGAGTCCGGGCAGGAAGGAGCTGGGTAGATAAGAGCATCAGAGTTGCCGCCAGCCTGTGGCGCTGCCCGTGATTGCTTATCCACTCATGAGCGAGCGTGGGGAGCGAGCGTGGGGAGCGAGCCTGGTGAGTAAGCTTGGGGGAGCGAGCGTGGGGAGCAAGCGTGGAGAGCGTGCCTGGTGAGTAAGCTTGGGGGAGCGAGCGTGGCGTGGAGAGCGTGCCTGGTGAGGTGTTTGGGAGCGAGCGGAGAGCTGAGCGTGGGAGGAATGGTCAGCCATGGAGGGAGCCAGCGTGGGGAGCCAGCCTGGTGATGCAGGCATGGGGAGGCGAGCTGGGGAGCGAGCCTGGGTGGAGCGAGCTGGTCGGTGAGTGTTTGGGAGCGAGCGTGGGGAGCGAGCTGAGAGCGTGCCTGGTGAGTAAGCCTGGGGGAGCGAGCATGGGGAGCGAGCTGGGGGGGAGCTGGAGTGGAGAGATGAAATGGGGAGGGAGCGGGGAGCCTGCCTGGGTGAGTGCTTGGGGGAGCGAAAGGTGATGTGCGGAGAGCGAGCCTGGGTAAGCGAGCGCTGGGAGCGAGCGTGGAGAGCTGCGGCTCCAGAGTGTTTGGGGAGCCGAGCGGGGAGCGAGCGTGGGGAGCGAGCCTGGTGAGTGATAGTGATGAGCGTGGGGAGTGAGCGTGGGGAGGCTGGGGGTGTCCCTGAGACAGGACCCAGGGCTGCCCCCAACACTTAGCCCTGCCCACCGTCTGCGCGGCCTCCCGCCCCACCCAGTGCTTTCTCTGTGTGGAATGGGCCGTTTCCTGGAGGCTGTGCCCCGGGGCCGGTTCTGCCCCTGGCTGGCAGGTCTCATCTCCTCCTGGAGCAGGCAGAGCCCCAGGGAACCAGCACAGACTCCACCACCGCCAGAGCAAGAGTGACAGCTGCCTCCTTCGCCATGCACTTCCTGCAGAAGACAGGTCCCCCTGCAGGTCATCCTGCTCCTTCCTTCTGACCAGAGCTGTACTCTGACCGGGGCCAGGACACTGCATGGGACGGTGGGAGCCTGCTTAGCACTGGCTCAGGGGAGGACGCACTCCCAAAAATACCATATGAGCTGTGTGCCCCCTGTGATTTTGCCCTGTCCAGGGCCTGGCACAGAGGCCCAGTATGCAGCCCACAAGAGGCCTGGCAGGTGCCATCCACTCCACTGTGCATCCTTGGCCCAGCCCCTCGGGACAAAGGCAGTGGCCTCAGATCCCCTGGCCCCTCCAGGTCACTGTCAGCTAATCCTGGGGAAGGACTGGCAAGGCTGTTTGGAAGAGGTCAGTGCCCAGGGACTCCGTGTGGCCTGCTGGCTGTGTCCACAGGCAGGGCTGCAGGAGCCCCGGGTGGGGTGACTCTGCACTCTGGCCCTACCCAGGCCTCAGGCCGGGGAGATGACAGTGACCGCCTGAATCCCCACTGCTCGCTACTGCCCCGTGGGTGTGCTGGGCCCAGGATGGTCACAAGTGTTCCAGGGTAACACCCCTCTGCAAGTGAGCGAGCGACTTTGAGATCACTGTTTTGTGACCCTCGTGGGGTCTCTCACTGCCCTCTTAATGTAAAATCCAGCTAGGGCAAGTGACTGGCCAGGGAGTTGCTCAGGGCACGTGCCCCATAAAATGCCTCCTGGAAGATCCCCCACGGGCCTCTGTGACCTGCTGCAGGGTTGACATCGGCTGCACCAGGCCTGGCCCTGCACAGTCCCTGTTGCCAACGGAGTATAGACGGTGCCCTCTGTGGAGCTGGCAGGTGCCTCTGCAGGACTGAGCCAGGGCCCAGCTGCCTATTTCTTCACTTTGTTGGGAGTGTTCGAGTGGCCTGGGCTTGCCACAGTGGCTACAACCACAAGTGGCTACAAACAGGGCAGCTTCAAGCAAGGGGAATGTGTTCCCCTACAGTCCTGGGAGCCAGGAGTCAGACAGTAGCCGCACAGGACGCAGCCAAGTGCGGCAGGGCCCCGTGCCCTCCCAAGGCTCTGGGGAGGAGGCCTCCTGCCACTTCTAGCTTCTGAGGGGCTCCCAGTGTTCCTTGGTTGTGGCTGCATCCTGTTTCTGCCTTCATCTCCACGTGCCCTTTCCCGGCTGTGTGTCTCCTCCTCTGTCTC